CGCCCCCCATTCTCCTTATTTTTTTGGAATAGCCCAATTTGCATAATTTCTGCTTGATCCAGAAAGAAGATGTCCGTCCTGATGGGAGGGAACTGGGAGAAATCAGACACACAACCCTCAACATCGGTAAGTAAGAAAAACAACAAGTATATGTCCTTCCTATAAATGAAAGGTCTCTAGCTTCTAACAGCCTTCAGATAACATGCCATGCCAGCCATGGGACTTTATACTCTGTTGAAGGAGTACAGTTTGCCACTCACTTACTTCTGATTTTTTCAATAATATTATAACCATACACCATCATTGCTATTCACACATGAGTTAAAATATCACTCACTCACTCAGTCCTCTTGCACATGTGCGTCGAGCCTACTAGGTGGACCACCTCCTTCCATCTCGATCTGTCCTGGGCGAGCTTCTGCGCTTCTTCGGGGGTGATGCTGATCAGAGCCAGATCCTTGGCCAGGACGTCCGTCCAGCGGGTGCGGGGCCCCCCCGAGGTCTCTTCCACCCCGCAGACTGGGGACTGAAGTTCAGGATAGCCTGGGTGGGGTGGTCGGGTGGGAGTCGTAGGACATGACCGTACCAGCGGACTCGGCGCATCGCTGCCACACGGGAAGCAGGAGGCTGCTGGGTCCTTTGCCTGAGCTCGGTGCCAGGCAGGTGGTCGAACCAGCGTACTCCCAGAATCCTCCTGAGACATCTGCTGTCGAAGCCGTCGAGTCTGGCTGCCAGAGTGTTGCTGAGTGGCCAGGTCTCAGCTCCGTACAGGAGGATTGAGACCACCGCGGCGTTGTAGACACGAAGCTTTGTGCCTAGCGAGATGTGTCTGTGCTTCCAGAGCGGTCTCCAGAGCGCCTGCATGGCCGCTGCTGCTAGTCCACGCCGCCGGTCAATCTCGGGTTTCAGATCATCTGTCCTGGAGACTGTGGACCCGAGGTAGTTGAAGGTGGACACAAAGTTTACTGTGATGTTGTTAAAGCTGAACGGTGCAGGGTCAGGGCCATCCCCTATGTGCATCAACTCAGTTTTTGACCAGTTGATACTAAGGCCAAGCTTGGCGGCTTCTGCATCAAAAACTGCCAGGGCATCCCTGAGTCTTTGGGGAGTGTCAGCCAGCAAGGTCGTGTCGTCGGCGTACTCCAGATCAGCAAGACTGTAACCGCCAAAAGAGACTCCTGGGACACACTCGGAGACCTTAGACATAAGGTAGTCAACAACACAGTTGAAAAGGTCGGGGGCAGCAACACAACCCTGACGGACTCCGCTGTTGATCTGGAACCACTCTGAGTTCTTGTCGTTTACACAGACGCAGCTTTCTGCATCGCTGTATAACAGCTGAAAGAGGGCGATGATCTTTGGAGAGACACCGATGGTAGTCAGTATCTTCCACAGGGAGGCATGGTCCACCGTGTCAAAGGCAGCACGCAGGTCGACGAAGGCGATGTACAGATGTCTGTCCTTCCTGTACTCGCGGGCCTTTTCAATGACTAGACGGAGGGCCGAGATGTGATCAATCGTGGATCTGTTGGGCATGAAGCCGGCCTGCTGTGGGCGTCTGCTGCTCCGGATAACAGACATTGCTCTAGCCAAGAGGATGCGGGTGAAAAGCTTGCCGGGGATGGAGAGGAGAGTAATACCTCTGTGGTTACTACAGACCAGCTGATCACCTTTCCTCTTCCAGAATGGTAGAATAATCCCTCGTCTCCAGTCCTCAGGGAGTCTCTCCTGGATCCACACATGGTTGATGATTTGGGTTAGCCAGTTGACGATATGGTCTCCTCCGGCCTTCAGCATCTCTGCTGTGATCTTACAAATGCCGGGGGCTTTCCCATTCTTCAGCTTCCTCAGTGCGGTCCTAACCTCGTCTGGGGTGACAGGAGGGATTGGAGAGTCCGTGTTGGAGCCGTCAGCAGCATCAGCAGCATCCTTGAGGTCAGGGTCCTCAGGGACAGGAGGATGGTTTAAGAGCTGACTGAAATGTTCTCTCCAGCGGGTGATGCAGTCTTCCTCGCTGGACAAGATGTTACCTGCCGTGTCCTTTATGAGGGAGCTGCGTCTTTGAGGGCCAGCCTTCGCTCGGCGCAAGATACTGTACACCTGATGTTGGTCGTCGCGTTGCGCGGCTTCCTCCAGGCTTGTAGCTTGATCTGCCCAAAAGGTTTAATAAGTTAAAATATTGGTATGTGAATTGTTTTGCAGGGTCCATAACAACAGCTGAAGGCTCTGCCCTGGTTAAGCTTGGAAACACAACAGTGATTTGTGGAATCAAAGCTGTAAGTATGTAGTATTTCAATTCATCCATTGCATAATCATCATAATCTGTCAGTGAATACACCAGCTTGTTGATATAGACATTAATCCATATTAAGCTTGATTTACAAAATTACTTCTCTGTTATTACAGGAACTATGCAATCCTACTGCAGAAGAGCCAAAGAAAGGATTTGTAGGTAAGTTAAATCCACTTTAGCACTAGTATTTAACGATTTTGGTGGAAGAGCTCTTGTTATAAGGCAACATGTATGGATTGAATATTTTCGAATGTTGCCTGTGTTTGGGTGTTTTTTTTACTACACAACAGCCCTTTCTCACTTGAGGACCAATTTTTATTTTGAGCCAGGTTCTAGTAACAGTCAGTTACTAGTATCTTCTTGGGTTTATGTTTGTACTTCTTTTATAGGTATGAAAGATCATGTTGACTAAATGTTTGTTTCATGGCATTTCCAGTCCCCAATGTGGACCTGCCTCCCCTGTGTTCCCCACGGTTCCGTCCTGGGCCCCCGAGTGAGCAGGCTCAGGTTGTCAGCCAGCTGATGGCTGACATCATTCAAAAGTGAGAAACATTCCGGCTAATTTATATATCATTTATTTATCAACATTTCCTTGTTTCTTCCCATGTTTGTTCCCAGGTTATCAATTGTGTGTTTCTTATATTTTCATGGTTGTTCGATACTGTGTAATTTTGGACTGAGATATTGAAATGTTTGTCTGTTTTCCAGCTCTGGTGTTGTAGCATTGGAGGATCTTTGCATAGTGGAGGGAAAGGTAAATATGTAAAATACGTGGTATATGTACAATGTACTTAAAAATTGTACTGGTGACCACTTCTACATAACCCCCCTACACTTTGCCAATTTTTGGTGGTCCCATAGATGATTTTTCATGTTGATCCAAACTTTAAGAATACTGTAGCAAGTCAAATGAAATGCTTATGTGATGTTTATAATGTTTACCACATTATGTTCAGCTGTGCTGGGTGCTGTACTGTGACATGCTGTGTCTGGATTACGATGGCAATGTTGTAGACACCTGTGTCATCTCTCTACTGGCTGCACTGAAAAATGGTAGGTGTATTTAGGCTATACTCATACCATTCAAAGTGGGAAAGAAAAAATGTATTACAATGTATTTGTTAAGGGGGGTAGTCTTTTTTGATACAAATCATGTTGTGTGTATAGTGTCTTCAGTATTTTATGTTAATAAGAAAGGTGGTGTTTGAACAAGGATTTAGAGCATAGACTAGAATATTGTGAAGAACTAGTTTGCAGTTCTGTACTATTCAATAATTTTACATTCACACCCCATTTCCAGTGCTGCTGCCAGAGGTAAGAGTGAGTGAGGAGACTGGTGATCCTGTGACTGACATGGAGAAAAAGTTACCTCTCAACATCAGGAAATGTCCAGTAGCCACTACATTCGGGGTGTTTGATGAGTAAGTTTTTTTTTTCATTCATGGCTTGAAATCTTTTTATTTGCATACTTGCACATTCAAAATTGTAGCTGCACTAATCTGTTTAATCTTTGTGTTGGAATAAAGTTCAACTTTTTACTATGATTACTACCAAGTACCAACAAACATGAGCTTTCGTGACATTTTCTTTTATCATCCAGGCTATGAAAAACAACACACATATTTTTGAAAATGGTCCCTCTCTAGTTAGTACCATTTTGAATTTCAATACTACAACAGACAAAATGAAATGGTGTCAGTGTCATTTTCCTATTACATGTATGTGATTGGCTACCTCTTGTCACCTGACCAGCCACTACCTGTTCACCGACCCCACCAATGAGGAGGAGTGTTTAGCGACGGGTGTTCTCACCATCGTCACCACAGAGGACAACAAGATCTGCTGCATGCACAAGCCTGGTGAGTGTGCTTTCAGTTCCAATTTTAATTTTTTTAACTAAAATCAATCAACATAGCAGTAGTACGTAGTACTCCTGAATTGCGTTGACTTTACATTCTATGGATACAAGAAGAAACACAGGGCAATTACATACATACCAATGATGCACTACTCACTGTCTGAACATTCACACAGTTTGGAAAGTTTCGGTAGTTGAAGTGTAGCATAGTATCCAGACCTATTGTAGAAAAAATGTAGAAATAAACACATTTGATGAACCTGCATCCACTCTCTCAATGGTCAAACTGCTAATTTTGATGGACAAATGGTATTGTAGGATGGGAATGACAAATTTAATTTTTAAAGTTATATCAAATACTGTACTGCCATAAACTCTGTAACATAAGCTATGTGTCTTCAAGGTGACTGTTACACAGTTGTACAAGTTGTACAAGAGTTCTTCTAGTTCAAACTGAGATGTAACAAACATCTCCTCAATGGATAAGAGCTGTCATTTAACCAGAACTTGAGTGGCCTACAATTAGTACTGTTTAAATATGGATATTCATCATGTGGTGTATTTTTCAGGAGGCACTCCTCTGTCGGAGAGTAGACTACAAGACTGTATCAACAGAGCTCTCACCAGGGCAGAGGAAGTCAGGAAACTCATCCACGAGACCATCAACAGTGTGGAGAGATAGTTACCTGTACCTTTATATCAAGCAGATATAGGATCTGGCTGATCATGAGTCTCGGTGTTCTGCTTGGAGATTGGGACTCGTGCCCTTCATCAAAAATCCTTTATCTGTTTTAATCTTTTATCTTGGTAGTAAGCATAATGTCCAGTCCCTCGACACTATAGATAACTAACTAACAACATGTTAGAATATTGTATTTCAAATTATCTACATAATACAGTCTTCTTTTCTCTTACATGTATATTGACATGTAGATGTAGCTAGTCCCCTTTTGAAGGAGTCTGCTCTAAAGCCTTCTTCAGTTTCAACCAATCATAAGAGCCGATTACGTCTCTTGACACGTCAAAGTACGTGATGGTGCGTAAGGATTCCGGTACGTCACACGCTTCGAGCATGATGGGAATGACACGCTCGGTCTTGCCCCTCAGACTCTTGTACAATGCCTGCTCAGTCTCGTACTTACACCACTCACTGGTCATGAAGTGTGGTGTAAGGACCAGCAGGGTCTTGTAGCTGTTCTCAATGCTGGAGATGATGTTGTCGTACACGCTTTTCCCCGGTATGAAGTCCCGATCAGCGACACAACCTGGGAAATTAAAACATCACACCAAAATGATGTTACCGTGCTTAACATACTGAAGGACGAACACTGCTTGCCATTACAGAGCAAAATCTGTGTATATTGGCCCCTGCTAAGAGATTTGACCAATAAAAGATGTCACTAGATATGTTTTCAAATAATTTATTTCACTTCAATACTGTGTATTGGCAAGAATATTGCTATCAAGAGGGAGCAATCAAAGATTACATTATATGCCTACACACTTTTACAAAGATTTATATAATCAATTATGACAATGGTCAAACAAACTTGATCAAACACACCTTTAAATCGCATGTCCACTTCCAGTGCAGGTAGGAGTGCGTAGTTTACCCAACCAGCGTCTTTGCTGCTGTGTGAGACGAAAAAGTCGTATTTGAACTCCTGACCGTGACGCGATTTCTCCACTGTCACCGGCACCTTCACCCGTGTTTCCTGCTTGGGCTGTGTGGGGGACCTGCCGTCCATTCCAGCTGCGCTGGCCTCAGCATCTTCTTCTGGAAGTGTAGACAGCATGGAGTCTGCGTCTGCACGATATGTGTCATTGCGATGCCGTTCAAAACATCCAAGACACATCCTCGCCAGGTGGCAGTTGTCACAGCCAATGAGGTACTGACATACCTGTAACATCTGACTGCCAAACTTGAATACACAATGGCGAAGTACTGGTGTTATGTCCGCGTATTTCTTGTAGCCTTCCTTGATCCAGAAAGCTACTTCGGCGATGTAATGTTCTCTGTGACCGTCCTCTGATCCATTGTGAAGTATCAAAAGGTGTTTCAACACCTGAGTCAGGTTCCACGAGTAGCTCGTGTTGTGAGCATCGTTTTCAACGGCGCGCTTGAAGGACTCTGCTGCCTTCTCATGCTCTCCAGCATCTCCAAGGCACCAGCCTCTGGCAGCCTGTATCTTGGGGCTGGTGTAACCGTCTTCTAGCTGCAGTGCTAAGGCGAAGTGGTCAAGCGCGTCTCCTAGTTCATCCCAGTCTTCCACTTCGTGTTTGAGAGGATGGGTCGCCAGCCTGTGGCAGACCTCTCCAAGGTGGCAAATTGTAAACGGTGGAGTCGCACCGTCACAGCAAACGATGGCGTCTGCTTTAGCTCTTTGCAGTATTTCTTTCGAGGGCAGTGCCCCTTCGTTTCGTCTACACTGTTTCAACAAGTGCTTGTATTCGCATAGGTTTACAAGAGATCTGATGTAATATGCCATCAAGTTACTTGTACTTCCAGGCATTATATCTATTGACTTGTCCAACATCTGTCGAGCTTTTTCGTAGAGATGCTCATGTAGGTACATGTGTCCAAACCTCCTGTAGATCTCTCCGTCCTCGCCATGTGGGTTAATTTTCACGGCTTTGATGAAGCAACCCAACTGAGGCCCAACATCGCTTTCTTCCTCTGTGTGGGGAATTTCTTGCATAATGTACTCAGGGGTTTCATAACTTTGGAACGCTTTTCTGAACTTGCTCTCCAAAGATCCAAGTAAGGCCCATGCTCGTGCGATGTAGAATGTACTGTGCTTCCAGCACGGATCCAGTTTGGTCACCGCGATCAAAAGCGTTTGAGCGTCAATCAAGCCTTTCGGGTTATTGTCTTGTGTTTGGAGTGCGTGTTCTGTAACTTGGTCGAGTCGCAAGTAACATTTACTCAGGTAGAACTTCCAAACAAGACACGTGGTCATGGCGTCCTGCGTGGTCATGGCGTCGGCAGTACACATTAACCTCAGTGCATCTTCGAATAGACCTATTGCGCGCCTGATCTTCGACACCATGTCTTTGCTGTCGTCCCTTACGTCAAAGGCGATCGCGAAGCCCTGTTCAGCAAAACAGCGAGCATTTCGTGCTCTGGCAGCATCGGATTGGTCCGAAAGCAGTTCCTGTAACCGATCCCTACACGCCATCTCGTCCTTTGCTCTCATCAGTTTGCCGTATATGAACTGCTTGTTGGCGATACCGTTGAGATTGTTCTCATCCATTCGGGTGAGGTTCTCCAGGAGTTTTCGTGCTTCCCCTCCCCCGCGTAGTTTGTAGAACGCAAAAACAGCCAATAAGTTGGTCATTGCACTCTCCATAGGCCCCGTCTCCTGGTCCAGTCTAGCCTTGAGCTCGTCATACCACGGTGAAACATCCTTCGTGTCCTTGACGAACAGATCAAAGTGAAAAAACCCAGGTTTGGGAACGGGGAAGAAAGTTTCTTCAGCCATGTTTGCAGGTGCAGTGAACATGGCACCGGCAGCGTTGCCAGGCAACGCAGGCGATTTGCGTTGTAACCGTTCCTGTAATTGCCAATGCATGTGCACCTAATAGGTGAAATGGGACGTGACAACACAACACAATGGACTTCTCAAAATGACACACAAAAGATGTGTTGTTATAAGAGTTTGTTTGCAACGTTTTCCAAATGTTTCTACCAATCACCTTGGGGCATTTTTTTTTATATTCGCACATGTAATCACAAGATGTGGTGGGGACACACCCAAGTTTTGTCATCTTATATTAATGCCGCCACCAACACTGGGGACAATACAATGCTCATTTTCACCTGAGCGACGCGGGAAAGGACTCGAACCCGGGACCTCTTGTTTCCGAGTCGAGCACTCTGCCGTTACCCCTTGGGGTATTTTGGGGGTCTTAATTACAATACCAAGAACATTAAACCAAGCTCATGAAAGCGCCTTGATTAAACAGAGATCTTTACAGTTTCTTGAGCCTACTACGCAGGCTCTACCACTGGTCATAGGCTCTACAATGTGTTTTTTCATAGTGCGAGTCGAATTACTTCCTGAAGTACTTCAGTACTTTTCCACCCAAGTGAACATAGTGCACTTGGCCCCACGTATTTATCTTTTGACAAAGGAAGCTTAACATCTAACACCTGTCAGCTAGTACCATGCTCAAACAAGCTCCCAATGCCCTACTTAGGGTTTATCAACTTTAGCATACAAGGGTATTGTACTCGTATATTATATCCTGATACATGCCATTTTCCAAGTATTTCTATCAATCACCTTGGGGGTATTTGGGGGTCTTACAATACCAAACGTTTACGGTAAATTGAATTTACTGTCAGGTAAGTTCCGAGAAGTTAAACAGTGTCAGTCCAACTACTTCCTGCAGGACTTTCAGTACTTTTCCACTCAAGTAAACATAGTGTACTTGCCCAACGTATTTATCTTTTGACAATGGAAGGGCTTGTTAAATGTGCTTAGCTTACCTGTCACTTAGCTAGTACCATACCCAAAGAAGCTCCCAATGTCCTACTTCAGGGTTTATGAGCTTTAGCATAGAAAGGTATTGTATATTATGTATTTAACGTTACACATGTATAGCATACAGCTGTTGAAATCTACTAGGTAAAATGTACACATGCACACGTGTTTTGTTTTACTTCCTTGTGACGTCACCACGTCGGTCAAGTTTCTTGACTTCATGACTCATGCCTATGTTCAGGGCCACTGTAAGGCCGTGTGAAGTCACTGACCTGGTCTGCCCTGAATAAAGAAAAAACAGAACAAACAAATCAATAAAAACGCCAAATGTTAGTTTGTTCAGGTATCATAGCAACGGTGACGTACGTTTGTAAACTTCACTGTGAGCTAGAGAAAGGAAGAAATATGATATTGTTTATGAAACGGCAAAAACAATGTCAATGGCGGCCGCAAAGTTTAATTGCAGCGCCAATGAAACCAGCCTGAACACATATAAAGTTTACTTTAAAAGTAATTTAAGCATTTTAAAAGTACGTACGGCCTTAAAGCTAAATACCAACACACCCGTACAACAGTGACTTTTGTACTTCCTTGTGACGTAAGCACCCCAGTAAAAGTCACTGACCTGGTCTACCCTGACACAATAAAATAGAACAAACAAATCAATAAAGACGTCAGATGTTAGTTTGTTCAGGTATCGCAGCAACGATGACGTACGTTTGTAAACTTCACTGTGAGCTAGAGAAAGGCAGAAATATGATATCGTTTATGACAGGGCGAAAACAATGGCGGTCCGAAAGTTCAAATGTAGCGCCAATGAAACCAGCCTGAGCACAGATAAAGTTTACTTTAAAAGTAAGTTACGCATTTTAAACGTACGTACAGCTAAATACCAACACACCCGTACAACAGTGACTTTTGTACTTCCTTGTGACGTAACCACCTCAGTAGAAGTCACTGACCTCAGGTCTACCCTGACACAAGAAAATAGAACAAACAAATCAATAAAGACGTTGATTGTAATAGTTTGTTCAGGTATCACAGCAACAGTGACGTACGTTTGTAAACTTCACTGTGAGCTGGAGAAAGGCAGAAATATGATATTGTTTATGAAACGGTAAAAACAACTAGATAGTAATATTAGCGGTTGCTAATATAGACAAGTTTGCGTTGTACATAGTCATTGTAGTGTAACTTACAATATGTTTTTTGTGTGTGCTTTACCTTTTACAGGGTTCCTTCTCATCCTTTTCTAATCCCCACTTACCTTGTAAACAATTTCGTCATCAATATACTAACAAAAGAACAATAGTTACACCCAAAACAAAATTTCACTTCTTTATGACTTCTCCATGCCCCATGACCTTTAACCTTTTGAGGGTCATGCAGGCGTCAAGGTAGCAGAACACACGATGACGTAGGGATAAGAAATGAGTGCGACAAACAGCTTGCACCGCTTGTACACAGCCTAACGTGGATGACACCGGGACATACAAGTTACCGTATGGTACCATAATATGTCGGCTTTGATATCGCATAATTGAGATTAGGAAGGCTGCTCGATCGGCGTATAAATGCGCGTGACCTTTTCGCTGCCTGCCATGGTGAGTCGGCTGCAGTTCCGGTGCGCTCCGCAGGAGGCCATTTAAAAGAGGTCGGCATAATGTCAAAAAAACGATAACTTTTTGTACTTTTTTGTTATTTTGTACATCGTACCCTATATTTGAACATATTTGTTTCTCGTGCTTTTCTATGGTACCCTACTGTATTTTTATCCCAGTCGATGTCAGTCACTTCCCGGTCCTTAACTATAGAAATCCCCATAGGCGAAAAACTGTGTTCTGCTACCTCAACAGCGCCCTCCCCACGCCTTGCCCACCTACCTACCGAACTACCTACCGAACTACCGAACTACCGACCTACCTACCCTCGCAAATGCAAGGTGATGTTTCTGCACTTCTCAAAAACTGTGCCACCACTACCCTCACTAAAAATTGACAACTACCCCCTAGTACAAGTTCAAGTAGCTAAACTCCTGGGGCTCCATATACAAGCTGACCTAAAATGAAACACCCAGGTGGACCACATGGCCAAGAAAGGAAGCCAGAGGCTTGTCTTCTTGAGAAGACTCAAATCTTTCGGAGTTACTAGAGAAGATCTTGTCACCATATATACAAGTTTTGTCCGACCCACTTGTGAGTACGCTGTCCCAGTTTGGCAACCAGCCATTACACAGTCCCAAAGACGTCAACTGGAAAGAATACAGCGAAGGGCTTTTCGAATCATCCTTGGGCCTGACTACACAACCTATACTGACGCTTGCAACACGCTATGCCTCATGACACTACAGCAAAGACGTGA